GGCGTTACAGGTTGGTGCTCTTCACTTCTCAAAGTGGGCAAACAGAAACTGGCCAATGCTTTGGTGTTTGTCAAGCAGGGTCCTTCTCTTTCTCTGCTGAATTTGTAGTGTATGCCATTTTTCTTGCCTTGATGTAGCTGCCGGGAGGATTTTGTGCTGCTGACATGATCTGTTATTGTTTTGTAAAAGTAAAGGAGCTGCTGTGGCTTGTACCCTCTCTCATGGGGCATGTGCTGGCACGTCTTGGCAGCTACATGTCTTGTTGCTGTAGGACAAGGGCTGAACTAACCTGACTGGAAGAGGGGAGATTAGGTGATATCTGAGGAAGAAATTCTTCCCCATGGGAGTGGTGAGACACTGGCCCAGGTTGGCCAGAGAAGCTGTGGCTGCTCCTCCCTGGAAGTGTTCAAGGCCAGGCTGGATGAGGCTTTGAGCAACCTGGTCTAGTGGAAGGTGTCCCTGCTGATGGCAGGGGGGTTGGAACTGGAGGAGCTTTAAGGTCCCTTCCAACCCAAACCAGTCTGGGATTCTATGATGACTTCTCCAAGCTGGGAACATGGTTCTCCCCATTTTGCACCTCCTATAATCAGCCAGTTCTTTGCAGATTAAGGAGAATGGGAAGATACCCCCCTTCTCAGGCTTGTCAGCTCCTCGCAGGAGAAGCATCTCTGACTTAACGTGCCTTTTGCTTTCCATGATGTTGAACCGGTGCTGTCTCTTGCTGGTTTTGCAGCAGTGGCTCGGGGAAGTGAAGGACAAGAGCTCCATCTTCTCCACGTTGGAGAAGGAGATGACAAAGGCGAAGGCAGTGGGAGAGCAGCTGTACCGCCTGAGACAAGAGCGCAGCATCGACCTCGAGCGCTATCAGGAGAAGGGAAGCCAGCTGTGGGATCGCTGGCAGCGAGTCTGCACCCAGATTGAGACCCGGTGAGGAACCTCCTGCCTCCTTTCACAGATTCACTTTGTGCTTCAGCTGAGAGCTGGGGTCAGGCTTGTTAGCAGCAATATTTTTCCTGATGGAATTCCCGCTGGTGGCCGGGATGTCCCTATAGCCTACGGTGACATTTCACCCTCCTGTTATTTGTCTTGGTTCTTCTCTCAGCCACGCAGAGCTGGAGAGCATCCAGGAGGTGCTGAGTGCACTGGTGGCTGGGATGTCCCTATAGCCTATGGTGACATTTCACCCTCTTATTATTTGTCTTGGTTCTTCTCTCAGCCACGCGGAGCTGGAGAGCATCCAGGAGGTGCTGAGTGATTACCGGCAGTGCCACAGTGCCCTGATCCAGTGGATCGAGAAGATCACGGTCCAGCAGGAGCTGATGAAGCCAGGGCAAGCAGAGGACAGCCGGGTGCTGTCAGAGCAGCTGAGCCAGCAGACGGTAAGACAGGACCTTGATGGCATGGTTGCTGCAGTGGCAGTGTCCTTTCTTTTCTTTTCCTATAATATTTTCACCTATGAGCTTAAAAAACATGAAACAGAGCGGGGAGGAGAGGACAGGCTTGAGCTGAGTGTTTGGGAAGCAGAGGAGCTCTGTTTAGTTTGAGGTGGGGATGAAGCCTTGCATAAAAAAATGAAGAGTATAAAGACTTTATCCAAAAAGCAAGGGACAGGGACTGAAATTCAGCTCGCCACCCGCAGCAGCTGTCCTGACAACCATTTTTGCTTTGCATTTTGTTGAAGGCTTTGGCTGCAGAAATCGAGAAAAATCAAGCCAAACTGGACCAATGTCAGAAATTCTCCCAGCAATACTCAGCTGTTGTCAAGGTACAAGTCCCCTCCTGCCCCGAGATAAGTTTCCACAGTTTGCATCTCCCATGCTCCATGTCTCTCCACCCCTGGTTGCGTTTGCAGGACTACGAGTTGCAGCTCATGACGTACAGGGCGTTCGTCGAGTCGCAGCAGAAGTCTCCCATGAAACGCCGGCGCATGCTCTCCTCCTCAGATGCCATCACGCAGGAGGTAGGAGCACGGTTGCCCACCCAACCTTGCGAGGGAGAAATTATGTTGTGGGGGGTTCTTCGATGCCCACCAAAGCGCCGAGCAGCCTCTGTGGAATGAGCTTTTTTTCTGCTGAACTCTTGTATAAATGAAGTTTCCACCCTCGCTGTTTTTTCCACTAGCCAGAGAGGGTGGCTTAGTGCTCTGAGCACCAGGTATGAAATACTCCTGGGAACCCCTGGGTCAAATCCAGCGGGGTCGGCTCAGCCCTTCAGCCTTGCGAGGTAAATAACCAGAGCACCATGGAGCGTTACTGTGTGTGGATCTTTGGGATGAGACCTTTAGGGATCCCAGGTCCTGTCTGCTCCCTGTGGATATTAAAGATCCCAGTAGCCCTTTTTGTAAGAGTTGAGCATCTGCCCCAGTGTCTGTGACCGGAGTCTCCCCCTCGCTCCAGTGTTGTGCAGCATGCCATGTGTGGCCACAACCCTCCCCATCAGACTTGCTGCATTTTATTGATGCTGTATCGGGTCTGCGAGGTGACTGGGGGGTTCCCCAGCAAGAGATGGTGCATCCATGTCATGTACTGTAAATACATCACTCCAGATCCACAGATGGTGACTGATGGGCCCCATTTCTCCCTTCACAGTTCATGGATTTGCGGACTCGCTATACAGCTCTGGTGACGTTGACCACGCAGCACGTGAAGTACATCAGCGATGCTCTCCGGAGGCTGGAGGAGGAGGAGGTGAGGGTGTTGTATGGAACTGAACTCTATTCAGAACATGCAGGCTCATTTCCTAACGCCCCCAAGGATGCTGCTCCATGTTGAGGTTACATCTTGAGCACTGCTCTTGGGAGCCTCTCAGCCTTTGGAAATCTGGGACCCCTTTGACATGATAACCATGTAGGTTTAGATTAGATATTAGGAAGAAGTTCTTCACTGTGAGGGTGGTCAGACACTGGAACAAGTTGCCCAGAGAAGCTGTGGATGCCCCCTCCCTGGAAGTGTTTAAGGCCAGGTTGGATGAGGCTTTGAGCAACCTGGTCTAGTGGAAGGTGTCCCTGCTGCTGGCAGGGGGGTTGGAACTGGATGATCTTTAAGGTCCCTTCCAATCCAAACCACTCTGTGATTCTATGATTCTATGATCATCCTTCTTCCTCTGTTTGCAGAAAGTAGTGGAGGAAGAGAAGCAGGAGCATGTGGACAAGGTGAAGGAACTCCTGGGCTGGGCCCTGGGATTGAAGCAGAACGTGCAAAGCAGGACGGCTGCTGCTGGGAGCAGAGAGCTGGGTGACATCGAGAAATCCATCTCGGAGCAGCAGGTAAACTGGGGACAACCAGCAGGCAGAGTTTATCTTCTGCAGTTTTTCCACATCTGAATTAAGCTTCTTTTTTCTTTTCTTTTCTTTTCTTTTTCTGACAGGCCCTGAATGAGGAGCTGGCTGCCAAGAAGGAGCAGATCTCAGAGGCCATCAAAACATCACAAATCTTCCTGGCAAAACACAGCCACAAGTGAGTGTGACCCGAGGAGGGGACAGGCAGGGAGGAGTGGTGGCGGGAGATGAGATACCTTAGAGCTGGTGCTGGTGGCATCTCTGGTGTCTGTTGCCCCACTCACACTGAAAACAGTGACGAGCTGCATGTGGAAGTTGTCTTTTTTCTCACCTGCAACAAGAGCTGTGGAATGTGTAACTCATTTATCCTCTTGGGACAATATTAATCCCCTTTATTGTGATCCAGCCCTGTATGTGTGGGGATTTGATGGTACCATGCAGGGCAGCCTTTGCTGAGCACAGTTACCTGTGCTGGTTTTAGCTGAGCTGGGCCAGGATTAGGGTGATGGGAAGAGGGGACTCGTGGTGGGTTTGGTCTTTGCCATCACCAGAAGAACATGGTAATTCTGTGGAGCTGGGAGCTGGCTTGTGCAGTTTCCCTGAGAGACTCTCCCTTTCCCTTTCAGGCTTTCCCACCCAGAGAAGGAACGGATTTCCACTCAGATTGGTACTCTGAAGGAGACCTACCAGGCTCTCTGCAGCGACTCCACGGAGCAGCTCCAGCAGCTTCAGAGCCAACTGGCTCAGGAGACGGAGCACAAGGTACTGCTCTGCCCTCAGTCCTGTACGGACACAGGCCACTCCTCAGGGTGTGAAAAAGGTTTTGCTTGGTTGTGTGTCTCATGGCCACCAGCCACTCACAGCCTGTTGACTTTCTCACTTGCACGTGGTTGCCCTCCATTCTCTTCTGTCCATGTGTCACCCAAAGCATCTGGGTTGGGGTGGTCCATGGAGGCCAAGCAGGAGCTCTTCCTGGTCAATGAGAGAGTTGTCCTTTGTGATGGTTTTCATCAGAGCTCTGCTCTGTGCACAAGGTTTGGCTTGTTCACATGGTGGGCAAGGATGTAGATGGACCTCTGTCCTGGAAATGGTCCCCTTAGCAAATCTGCGTCCTCTGCGTGATGTTTTAACCGCAGAGGGCTCCATCTCACAGGCAGGAGATGCAAGAAGGTGGGTTTCTGCAGAAGGACACTTGCTCCTTGAGGTCTCAGGTATCTCAGGGTCTGAGGTTTGTCTCAGCTGTGCCTGAATGAAGTTGCTATCCCCAGTGGAAGGTGACTCCATCATCCAGGCCCTCAGCTGACCTGGGAGACCTTCATGATCCATTCCCTGTTCCACCAGTGCTCCCATCAACCTCCATCCTTGTTTCTCTGGGTAGGGAGGGCTGAAAGCACATCCTTGTTGCCTCTGTTATGAGCTGTCTTCGGTCATTCACAGATATCCGTGTACGTGTTATGTAAGTGTATATACATGTGTCGATGGATATATTTGTGTGTTTGCTTGCTGGCTCCCTGTACTTTGAAGCAACAACCCACTCAGATCTGGATGTGTGACACAGATTTTGGCTGTTGGGTCCATGAGTGAAGCCCTGTTCGAGCCGCTCATGAGAAGAAGGCGACAGGGCTGCTTGTTTGTAATCTACCCATCCGATTTTCACCTAAAGCTGTGGTGTTTCTCTCCAAATTGGATTTTATAGCACATTTCAAGTGTCTCAGTGCAGTATTTCTATTGCAAGCCCTTTAGCTCTTGTGCTAGCAGCAGAAAATGTATGGTGAGCAAACCAAGTTGTTAGTTGCCACTAAGCCATCGTGGCTTTGATGCTTCTGCTACTGCCAGGAGAGAGCTGAGAGCAGCCTGCCTGTGGAGAGGACACTTTCCCCTTTCCCTTTTCCGCCCTCCTGGGCAGGAAAATGACTTTCTATAGCAAAAACCTTCTCCAGGACTTGCCAGGCTGTTTTCATACAGCATGAGCACGCTTTGGGGCTCAGGCTAGAACAGTTTTCACTCACGCTCTCGATGAAGCCCAGGAAATAAAACAAGAGATGGCAGCGGGGCTTCACCGTAGATCCCCGTCTACGGGGTGATCCCTGCAGCTCTTGTGTGGTGCAGTTGCTTCACTGTAGAGGGAGCATGAGGAACTCTTAACATTTGCTTGCTGGAAACATCCAACTGTCAGAGAGAAGTTCCAAAAGACCAAAAAAAAAAACAACTGCAAAGCAGAACGCGCTAAATTGAGCATGATGTGTCCCCTGTACAGTTTGTGTTTCATGTCAACTGTTTTTAAGATTAACTGACATCCTTGCTTACAAAGTTTTAACTAACCCTCTGGGATTTAAACAAAACAAAACACACAAAGGGAAAAAGGACGGACCTGTGTGTGGGGTTCTTTTTTGCAAAAAAAAAAACCAAACCAGTCGCATGCTGGACGCTAACACCAAGCTTTACACTGTGTGTGATACGGCTGAACTGCTCCATAAGGCTCTGTCTTTAACTGCTCAAGGCACACCCTGCAACTCGGGTAAGTAAAAGCCTTTTACCCCCCTCCCTCTCTCCCTCCCTCCATCTCCCTTTTTTATCTTTCTCTTCTTTTTTTTTTTTTTCTCTCCTCTTCCTCTTTTCTGTCTTTCCACGGCTTGTTCATCTCTGAATGTGCATGTCAGAGTCTGGTGATGATGGTGGAGAGCTGAGGTTTTGCTGGCAGGTTCACTCTGTCTCAGAATGCAGTGAGGGGATCTGCAAACCAGTCTGGTGGAGGCTGCATTCTCTGCTGTACTGGAACTGAGCTGTGCTGTGGCCACACACCCCCAGCTGCTGGTGCTGTTAGACTCACCAATTAAAAAAATAAATCTGAGGGTTTTGGGGGTGCAAAAAGAATTAATTCCACAATCCTGATTCCCTCCTTCCTAGCCCCACAAAAATCTTTTAATGCTTGGGTCAACCTTATACCCAACCAGCAGGACTGGGAGAAACCCAAATGTACAAAGATCGTTACTCTTTATTGTCTTAATTATTACCCTCCCTGTGGGGATAACAGCAAGAAGAGAGAGGCCCCTTGAGAAGCACCAGAGTAGATGGTCTGTTCCCAGTCTGTCACTGTTTCCATGCTGGCACCTCCAAATTCTTGGGTTTCTCCCCTTTCCCTCTCTGGAGAGCAACAGCTACGTGGAGGTGCTGGAGCCGGGCAGAGCGGGTGGCCGTGGTGGTGCTGGGGGAGCTGCCCTGCATGCAGCGCTCCTGCCCCAACGCATGGCCGGTCTGTGTGGCTGTGCTCCACAGCGTGGGGGTCTGTGGTGTTCCCTGGCTGTCCTGGCACTTGAGATCTGCTTGGGAAGAGCAGGATTTAAAGCATGGCAGGAGTCAGTGTGGAAGCTGCGCTGGGAGAGATTCCTAGATGGCTTGAAGTGGACATCTTTGGGGTTATTTCTCCTCTGTGAGTCCACAGTGGGATTTCTGTTGTCTTTACTTTTTACAACTGGAGTTGTTGAATGGCTTTGGTGTGCTTGTTGGTCTCCTTCCCTCTGTTTCTCCATGGAGCTTTAGGAGCACTTCTGGGTTTTGCTGCTTGCCGCTTTGCTGCGTTACTGTCGGTGGATGTTGGAAGCATTTCAGTGCTGCCCTGGGTGATGGACTAGATGAGCATCAAAACTTGCTGGCAAAGTGCAAGCTAGCAAATTTGGGTGCTGTGATGCCTTTGGAGTTGCATTTCAAGCACTTTGGGACTCACTTTCTAGCCTGTTTAGGGTTTTTAAACATTTTTTTTTGGAAAGTGAACCCTCCCTGGAACTCATGCAACCCGAGTGCTGGAAATGCTCAATATTGATTTAATTCTTTTCCATCTCTTTCTGTTCCAGGGCAGCGAAGCTGTGGCAGGAGTGATCGATCTTGGCACGGTAGAAATATTCCCTGTTTTTGGTGCTATGCAGAGAGGTCTTATAGATCAGGACACTGGCCTTGTCCTCTTAGAGGCCCAGGTTATCACATCTGACTTAGTTGTTCCAGAGACCAATGAGAAACTCTCCTTGGAGAAAGGTCTGGCAAGAAACATCATCGATCTCAGGACGTTCCAGGTGCTGCAGGAATTGAAGGATGCTCTCCACCAGGTAGAAGAAATCAGACGTGAAGGGAGGCAGCTCCTGCCTGTCGTTGCTGCGATAGAAGAGGGGAGGATCAGTGAGAGCGTTGGGCTGAAGATTCTTGAAGCTGAGCTTGTCACTGGTGGCTTTAAAGTCCACCAGGGCAGAATCAGCATGGAGACAGCAGTGCAAGAAACGCTCCTTACCCCTCAGCTGTATTCCAGACTCCTGTCTCACCTAGAAGGTGGCAAGGATTTGATTGACCCCAACACTGCTGAGAAAATCAGTCTGTCTGAGCTCATGCACCGATGCATCATCCACCAAGAGACTGGACTGCGGCTGCTCCCAGTCAAGCAGCTGGCGGGTGGGATGGTGAGCTTGAAATCAGGCAGGAAAGTCAGCATCTTCCGTGCAGTCCAGGAAGGGCTGATAGACAGACAGGTAACGGTCAGGTTGCTGGAAGCCCACCTCTTTGCTGGTGGTATTGTTGACCCCAGGACAGGACACAGGCTGACAGTGGATGAGGCTGTGAAACATAATTTGATTGACCAGGATTTGGCATGCACACTTCTTATCCGGCAGCTTCAGACAGGTGGCATCATCGATACCATCACGGGAGAGAGACTGACAATTGATGAAGCTGTAAGGAAAGAGTTGGTAGCACCAAGGATTGCATTGGTGGTCCTGGAATCCCTATGGTCTTTCATGGGGCTCTTGTGGCCAGAAACAGGGGAGATTGTCCCAGTTGCAGATGCTTTAGAGCAAGGAATTCTGTCTACAGAGATGGTTTACAAGATTCTCAGCAAGAGGCAACTCATTAAAGGTGTCTTTATACCAGAAACCACTGAGGTGTTGTCCTGGAAGAAAGCAGTTGAACATGGCATCTTGGAGAGAAATGTGGCGAAGAAGCTGAAATCAACAGTCATCCCTGATGTCATGGCCAACGTGCAGCTTGCTGGTTCTCCAAGCAGAAACAGGCATGGCCAGAGTTTTTCTGGAAGGAGTCCCACAGGTCACAAAGAGCAAAGTGACCCTCTGCTAAGGAGTGATGACGAAAGGCTGATGTTCCACTTGATGACCCACAGCTACATCAACATCCACGATGGCCAGAAGCTGCTCTTAGTGGATGGAGAGTTGAACAATCTCACTAAAGCCCTTGTCCAAACCCAAGAAGATGGATCCTGTGCACACATGTTGGAAGGCGGTGAAGGCTTTGAGGAGACAAAGGCAAATGCATCTCTTGAAAGTGAGCCTTGCAATGGTTTGGCTTTGCAGCAGCTTGAGTTTCAATTTGCTCCTTCAATAGAACAAAGCAAAAAGGTCCTACCACCCAGAACTGCTTTGGTGAATGGGGAGGTGGTGGTGGGACCTGAAAGCCTCCTGTTGGAGGATGCAGAAGATATCTTGCTTGTGGAGGAGCAAGAGCAGGTTTATACCAAAGAGGCTGCTATCAAGAGCGAAGCTGATGCTGAATTTGGAAGAGACCAAGTAGTTTCTACAAGCGAGGACAAACATCAGGTGAAATTATTGATGCCAGAACATCCCAGTGACTTTGGTAGTGGATTTAGAGAAACAGAGGAAATGATGATTGAGGCAGAAGAAGAGTCCAAGCCTACTACAGTAGATGGAGTGGAAAGTATCAAAGATCAGAAGAGGGCATTGGAAAGTGGGGTGGTAGTTGTGAAAAGCGAAATCTGCTTATCAATGGATGTTTCAGAAAGTGGAGATAGACTGGAAATCATGGCAGAGAGGTCTCGGGGTGCAGAGGAACCTGAACTGGAGGCAGAAGATGTTAGAGAGATTTATTTGCTCGATAAAAAAACAGTTGAGAATGGCATGGTGGGAGGAGAGGAGATTGTGCTCCCTAAAACTGGAGAGGCAGAGCAGACAGAAAGGCAAAGTGAGGACGTGGAAAGTGAATTGGAAGTGGAAGGAGGAGAGGGTGAAGAAGTAATAGGTGATGAGAGAGTTGATGAAACATCCCTGCCAGCCCCTGTAGAGCAGGAAGCAGAGGACCCTTTGGAAATGCTGTTAATGCAGCTCCAAAGTGGTGGCATAATCCATGAGCAGACAGGCAAGACTCTTCTTCTAAATGAAGCAGTAGCTCATGGAGTGGTGCCCAGCCACACAGCTGTGAAACTCATGGAGAAAATGAAGATGTTCAGTGGCTTCTTTGATTCTCGTACATGTGAATCATTAACCACTGAGGATGTCATTGAAGAAGGTCTGATGGATGAGAAACTTCTCCAGAAGGTACTTGCATCTGACAAAGCAATAAGTGGCGTTCTTGACCCAGGCAATAACTTTGTCTACTCTATCAAGGATGCTGCTGCTGTTGGCCTTCTGGACAAGGAAACAGCAATGAGGATCTTGGAAGGGCAAGTGGTTACTGGAGGGATTGTTGACTTGAAACGTGGTAAAAAAGTATCAGTCACTTTGGCTTCAAATCTGGGCCTCATAGAGCCAGCAAGTCAGAAAGAGCTGGCCAAGCTGGAGAAAGCTTCCAAAGGGAAAGGCACTGATGAGGTGACCAGACAGAAGCTCATTAACTTACAGGTTGAGACCAGTGGAATTGTAGATCCTAAAACCAAGCAGCCTTTGACTGTTGCCCAGTCTGTTGAAAAAGGGCTCCTGAAAAAGGAAGAAGCTTTTCAGCTCTTGACCAAGCAGATTGCTGATGGAGGTATCATCCATCACGTGTCTGGAATGAGGCTTTCGGTAAACGATGCGATGAAACATGGTTTGATCCATCAAGATTTATGTAACGAGCTCACAGAAGCTGAAAGCGTGTGCCTGCAGGACTGTGTCCATCCTGTTACGAAGGAGAAACTGCCCTTGGCCCAGGCGCTGTCATTAGGGCTCCTTAGTTCAGATTTCCAGAGGAAAGTGCAAGAAATCCAGGCTGGGAGTGGAAGCGTTTTTGATCATGCTTCTGGCCAGAGACTGGCACTCTGTCAAGCGGTAAAGGAGGGCTTGCTGCCCAAGCAGATGATGGAGAAAGTCCTATCATCTTCAGAAATGAAAGAAGGAATTGTAGATCCTGAGAGCTGCATGATCATTCCCTACTCTGAGTTCATAAAGAAGTGTAAAATTGACATTGAATCTGGCCAGAGGTATCTGGAGGTTCATCCCTTCAGAGCCATCAGGGATGAGGTGACGGGGAACAAGCTCACGTGTGCCGAGGCGGTGAGGCTGGGGAAGGTGGACCTTCTGCCCACACTGCGGTTGCTACAGGCCCAGGCTGACAGTGGAGGGGTCGTGGAAGGTTCTGTCAGCAAGAGGCTCTCCCTGAGGGCTGCCGTGGAGCAAGGGCTGCTGGATGAGGAGATGGCCAAACTCATTGCCACCAACCAGATGAGGACTGGGGGAATTATTGATGCTAGCAGTGGGAAAAGATTGACTGTAAAGGAAGCTGTTGAAAAAGAACTGATTAGCCAAAAATTAGCTGCTGCTCTTCAGGAGGCAGAAATATCTGAAGACAAATATGGTTCTGAGGTCTGCAAAGTAGATAGACCCCAGGAAAAAATGGGAGAATTATCTCCAAAAGAGGAAGATGTCCTTGTCTCTGCCAGTGCTGCTAAGAAGTCTGATGGTGCTGAGCACAAAGCTGGATCTGAAGCTGTGACCTATGACGTGGCTGGAGGCACAGCTGCCACCACTGAGAGATCCCCAGTGACCCTGACAAAAGGGAAATCAAAACCTCAAGGAAGTTCAGAGGATGGTGGAACACATCATCCCCAAGAAACAACTGAAGTGACTCCAGAATACCCATCAGTATTAGGTACAGCATCTCTGTCCAAGGAGATGGTGGTGGAAAGGGCTGTGGAAAAAGGGATGGCAGTAAGCAGCTCCCAGGTTAGAGCAGCTGAGGAGAAGGAATTGAGGAGAGAAGTAGAAGAACAAGGGACAAAGAAAGTGGAGGGATTGGGATTGGAGAAAGAGCAGTTGTTCTTGGACACGGAGACACTTCGCAGTGTGGAGGACGGTGAGGAGAGGAGGAAGAGGAGAGGGTTTGTAAGTGCAGAGGGAGTTGTGGCAGGTGAAGAAGGTGCCGTGGTGGCTTCTGAGCAAGAAGAGCGAGTGAGCAGCCTGGACCAGGTAACATCAGCAGCCCCGAGGGAATCTGTTACTGTGGTTCAAGGGAAGGGAGAGATGGGTCCTACAGAGTCTGGAGAACCCCCTGAGACTGGCGTCCCTGTGAAGTCTGCAGGAGATGAGCTTGCAGGTGAAAGAACTGTCGAACATATCAAAGGAGAACCCCTGAGACCAGGTACAGAAGGTCCAGTTGAGCAGCAAAAAACAAGTGAAACTGAGAAAAAACAGAAAAGCAAGAAAAAGAAAGCAAAGCAGAGCGGGGTCCCAGGAGACAGCGCTCAGCCGGAGAAATCTTCTGTGGAAAAACCATCCTTTCCTTTTCCAGTTTCCAAAGAAATTCCAGGGAAGGAGGAGGACTTTGTCTCAAGCACGCCAGAACCAAAACATGAAACCACCACCAAGATTACTGCTGGGTTGGCAAGAGATGCAGCCAAACACATGGGGAGCAGCAGGGAGGAAGGAGAGAAAAAGCCAATTTCTGAGAAAGATAGAGAAAACGGTGGTGGGGGTCAGGTGTTCCCTGTCCCACCAGGACAAGGGGAAGCTCAAGAGATGGTGGAAGGTGGGATCAGAAAGGATCATGATTCCTCAATGGCATTGAGTCTGGAGGAGAGGGTGACCCAGGAAGACACCAAAGTGGAAACCACCAGTGATGTGTCCAGTGTAGCCCCAGCAGCAGACAATCTGCCTGATGAATTAATTATCAGAGAGGAACCCAGAGAAGTTCAGGAAACCTCTACAGTCCTTGAGCTTGGAGAAGAGACACAAGAAGAGCAAACAGTGGAGTTAAGCACAGGCCAAGCAGGTGCCCCTGTTCCCCCAAAATCCCAAGGAGAAACACCACAGGAGAGGACCAGGCAGCTGGGTCCTGGCGATCGGGGCTTGCTCCTACCTGTGATAGTGGAGGGGGAGCTGCTGGAAACCTCCAGGGAATCCACGAGACCAGCCCAGGTAAATTGATGCTTTTTTTTTTTACTATTTCAACATTTTTTTTCTGAGCTATTTGTGGATGTTTGATATTAAATCTCTCTGAGGTCCTCAGCACAGAGGACAGCCAGAAGATGATGAGGGGATGTTTGAGCTTGATGTTGCAGTATCAGCTGCAATGGGTTTGGCAGAGGACCTGGTGATGTAGGACTGAAAACACTCCAGGCTTAGTTGTGGCTTTTTTTTTGTTGTTAGAGCATTGCTTATAAATGACTAATAAGCAGGACTCTCTTTTTGGCACTTTTACTGTAACACCAGAGATCTTTTGCCATTTATAAGCTTATGTTGGAAAAAGAACCGTGTGTTTTTATTTTTCCTGTAGTAAATCTTGTAGATAAGGCTGGAGAGTGGAAAGTCCCTGAAATGAAACTGTATTAACGGATTTCTTCTTTGAAAAAAAACCAAACCAAATACTAGATAATCCTTTTGTTTGCTTTTCTCTCTGAATCTGAGGTTTTGTTTTACTATTTGATTCTGTAGATCATGTTCAGCAAGAAGATGTGTCTGGAGCACGATGAGAAGTTGATATCGTATCTCTCCATGCTCCGAGATATCGAGATGAGAATCAAACGGGCGCAGCCAGTGGAGCAGAATTTGGCAGCTCTGCACGAGCTGCTGCAGCAGGCAGAGGTGAGCGAGGCTGGGACAGTGTTAGGCAGGACTAGGATTAGGATTAAGCAGGACAGAGCTCATCTTTCCTCTCCCCACCTTCATGCACAGCCCTTGTACCTCCTCCCTGCTCCTGGGAGCCAGCCAGGGAGGTTAGTCTCAAGTTGAACAGGAATTTATAGGCAAAGCCTGTCCCTCCCTGCTCCGGCGTTGCCTCTGGCTCACCTTCTCCTCCCTGCTTAGACAATAACCTAAGCTTGGCTGAAAAGAATTTTATAGCCTGGAGAAAGACCAGGCGAGTGCTGGCAGCTGAGTGGGGTTGGAGGATGGTAATGAATCTTCCCAGGAGATAGACTCAGTGTTGGGAGCTGGGTCTCCAAAACCTTTCCTCAGCTTTGGCAGTGGGAAGATGAAGTCACCATATCTTAGACATAACGATGCTGTCTCGCCCCAGGCCCTGGGCGCTGAGCTGCGGGAGCTGAGCTTCCCAGTGAATCAGGAGTTGGATGCCGTGGAGTGGATTGTGGCCAACCCCCCTGAAGAAGTCCCTGAACAATTACTGAAGGCTTTGGAGAAGGATGCCAAGAACCTCCAGAAGTCTCTGAGCTCTGCAAGTGATGTCCTGGAGGCCCGGCTGCAAAACCTTCGTGGGGCAGCAGAAACTAAAAAGGTAGAGCTAACAACTGTCCCCACTGCCCCCTAAACACCCCAGTGCTCCTTCCCCGGAGCGCTCTGCTCCTTCTTTAAATGATACATTTCTGGTTTTAAGGCTAAAATCCTGGCACATTATGAGACTCTCCAGGACAAACTCCAGGAGCTGCTGAGCTGGGTCTCAGGCACTGCAGAGTCGCTGGACGGCAGCGATTCCCACCACGCGACTGATGTGAACAGCTTGAGTCGCTGCCTCCAGCACTACAAGGTAACCATGGCAATGCCCCTAATCCTTCTGGCTGATGAAGTTGCTGTCCTGTGTGTGGAGGAGAAGCTTTTAATCCTGCTTCCCTCCTGGACCCTTGGTGGGTTTGCCTTTATCCTTTGTTGCAGGAGGAGCAACAATGTTGTACTTGCTCCAAAGTCATTTGTTTCCACAATACATGAACCATCTGGTTTTGGTCATTAGGGGAACATGCTCGAGTGCAGGTGTGTGATGGGGGCTGAGCAACCAGGAGGGATTCCCACCAGGCTCTGTGATGTTGAGGAGAGAGCTGCTTCCTCTGTGGGGCTCTGAGAGCCCCCTCCATCACACCTGCCCCGGTCTCCATCGACTACGAGGAGCCCAGGCTTCCCTCTGCATTTCATAGAATCACAGAATCGTTTTGGTTGGAAAAGACTAAGATCATTGAGTCCAACTGTAAACCCAACACTGACAAGTCCACCTCCAAACCATGTCCCTAAGCACTACATCTACCCATCTTTTAAATACCTCCAGAGATGGTGACTCCACCACTCCCCTGGGCAGCCTGTTCCAATGCTTGACAACTCTTTCTGTGAAGGAATTTTTCCAAATATTGAATCTAAACCTCCCCAGGTGCAACTTGAGGCCATTTCCTCTTCCTTCCTTGATCTTTTAGTGATAGCTCTCAAGATTTGGTCAGTTCAGCATCTCCTGTTTGCTGGTAGCACCTTGGTGTTGAAATCAGGGGATCAAAGGCTTTGAGAGCTGATGGTAGCACATGGAGTCACCATGGACAGGACTGAGCTGCTGACAGCTCCAGGTCTGGGTCACCTTCAGAGTTTCAGCAGACCCAAGGGCAGCCCTGCACGGATGGTTCGAGCAACCTCTTGGGGAGGTGCTGGAGGCCTGGTGCAGAGGAGCGTTGGAAAATAGGGATGCTGTCACCTGGATGCTTTTGGGACCATTTAGGGTTTGTGGAATATATTGTTCTGGTGACACTGCACTTTTTGTGGGTGTGTTCTGCTGCCTGTCTGCGTGTCCCATCTGAAGCTGGCAGTGCAGGAAAGTGCTGGCTGCAAAGTTATCTTGCCTGACAGGTCTTTTCCCTCCCGTTCAGGAGCTGAAAGAGCCCCTCGCTGACACCAAATCTCAGCTCGATGCCACCGCCTTCGACATCCAGTTCCTTATCTCAGAGCATGCCCAGGACTTGACCCCTCAGCAGAGCAGGCAGCTGCTGAGGCTGCTCCATGAGCTGCAGAAGGCTTTCCAGGACTTGTCGGAGCATGTGACAGCTCGGGTGGAGGTCCTGCAGGTCTGTCTCCAACAAGTGGAGCAGACAGATCAGGTGAAGGTTGTGAGACATCTGCTTCCTGGCTGCAATTTGCTCGCTGAAGCGCTTCCCGGCCACAAGAACGTGCGCTGAGACACCTCGTATTTGGGATTTCACATGCATGCCACTCACAGTTTATGACTTTTCATTGCACATCATGAGCTTCCTCTAAAGTCTTTCTTCTTCCTACCAAGTAATTCCCAGGCAGAAAGTCACTTTCCTCCCAAAAGACGGAGACCTGCTGAGGTCTGGGTAGCACAGCCGGGCAGTCCTCTGCTAGACATCGAGTTGTTTTGGGCTGGGTGGAATAAACCCTGGTTTCTGTAACCCCACCAGAAAATCCCTGTGCAGAGGGGCCACCACAGCCACCTGGCACTTTTAATGGCTTATTTCCACTGCACAAGTCAGGTATTGCTGTCCCAGAGAAACAGCTGATGATGTATCACGGCAGCATGGAGCTGCAAAAGCAAGATCTCGGGTCTCTGCTGCATTGCTGCAGCACCCATCACTGCATGGATCCTCTTATTCAAGACAGGATTAATGTGGTTTTTATTAACAATTGCTCTCTGTAACTCTTGCCTGTCCTCTCTGGAGTGTGTGTGTGTGTGTATTAACCAGTTTGCTTTGCTTTTTTCAGATTGAGTGTGCGCCCATCCTAACCCAGGAAGAACTCGCTTTGCAGCTGAAGAGCTCTTAAGAAGGCTCTTTCAATTTGCTTCTGTTGTTTATCTTATGACTGGGAGAAACAAGCACAGTGTTTTGCACAAGTTTGTACATCACCTTGCTGAAATGCCCAGGGAAACTCAAAAAAAACCTCCCTTCTGTCTCCCCTGGGAAAGGGGAACAGGAACGTTGCAGGGACTCTCAGGTCACATCATGCTCAATTGCTCAAACAGGCGCTTCTGTGTTGTGCTCTGGCAGCAAAACGGAGGAGCTGGATCAGCTACAGAAACACTTTCTCTCTCCTGGGCTCCCTCTCCAACCCCAGGGTCAAAAAAAAAGCAACTTACTTGGGTTATTTGGAGCTCCACAGTGGTGCTGCCTGACCTCAGGTGGTTGGTACCTCTCCTTCGATGAGTTTCTGCTGCAGTTTTAATGTTTCTAAAGTTGAATGGAAAAGGCACAGAAACTTTTGACTGAGCTCTCCTGGGGGAGGAGTGCATGACCTGGAGCGTAGCTCCACGTTGGAGCTCAACAAGCTTCTCAAAGAGCAGATTGAGAGAAACCTGCTGGAATGGTGGCAAATGTTCAGCCAGCAGGTCCTGCTGGGCAGGGACTCGGCACCTCAGCCCCGTTCCCGCAGCGTGTGAACTGGAGAGGGAGAGGGAGCACCTGGAGAGCTGCCAAAGCTTTTTTCTGTGCTGCATCCTCATCTTCAGGAGCTGCTCCAACTGTAACCTCTCACCTTGCCTTTCAGTGATGTGTGTGACCAGAGGTGCAGCACCAGGTACTAACTGTCCCCTCTCCCTGCAGACGCTGCAGGAGCAGCAGGCAGCCCGGGCGCAGAACCTGGCCGAGCTGAGCCGCTGGCTGTGCCAAGCAGAGGACACACTGGCAGAGCAGCAGAGAGCAGCCAGCGAAGGGGACCTGTCCACCTTGCAGCAGAGGCAAAGCGATGTTAAGGTCAGTGCTTTAAAAACAACAAAACAAATGGGAGTCAGAAGGCAGAGAGGCTCGGTGCTGCCTCGGGAGCACGCAGAGCCTGATGGCATCATCTGTCTAGGAGCTGCAGAGGAACATGCACACCCGAGCTGCCTCCTTTGCCAGCGTCCTGAAAAGCACAGAGGAGTTTTTGGAGGAGAACAAGGCAAAGATGGAGCCTGGGGAACTGGCAGCACTGCAAGAGAAGCTCCAGCTTGCTAAGGAGCAGTACCGGTCCCTCCAGGAGAGGACAGAGATGGCTCAGAAGGAGCTGGAGAGCGCTGTGACTGCTGCCGTGCAGCAGGAGACTGAGAAGGTAACAAAGAGCTGTTGGCCCCGGGTTCTGCTTGAGGACAGGGAGGTCCAGTCAGTGCAGGTTCATTTGGGGTCCTGGGTGATGTGGGGTAAAGAAATTTACTGTTCCTGTGTGTCCCCTGGGCGAGGTGGGGCTCTGACACTGTGCCCCTTCACAAAATACCTTGAGACCTGCAGCCACAGATGAGCTGGTTGTGGAGGAAATGGGGGAGTAGAAGGCATCTTGCTCTGCCTTTGGGCCAACCTTTGATGGGAGCCTGAGCATCAGCCCCTCCACACGCTGGCGGTGAAAGCGATGCTCACACCTGCCTGTGTGGAGTCACAGCCCTTCGGGGTGGGGACCCTGGGTTGTATCAGGGTCAGAAATGCAACGTAGCAGAGAGAGTTGAGTTTATTCACAGCTTCTTTGCACCTTCCCACCCTTCCAGAGAGCCACAAAGTCTTTCACAGGTCTCTCAGGGTCTCAGGTATTTGCTGTGGCTGGAAAACTTGTTTGGGGTTTTTCTTCTGTTGATTTTTGTCTCCTTCCCCCATGCAGCAGTTTGCTGAACGTGCATAAAATGGATCATTCTTATCTGGAGCCTTTGTGCTTTCAGGTGAAAGCTGCCAAAGAGCTGGAGGAGAACAGCAATAAGATCGATTCCCTTTTGAACTGGGTGGCATCCCTAGAGCAGAAGGGAGAGTTCCTGAAGTACAGACCACACCCCATTGAGCAAGCACCAGGGGCACGAGCAGGGACAGGCACTCAGGATGTCCCCGATGGCCACGTCGTGGGAGCAGAGAGTGCTGCTGAGAGCCTGGATGAGCAGTACGAGAGGCTGAAGGTCAGGACCAACACCCTCTCCCTCTCAAAGCTTTCTGCCCAACACACTGACCCTGCATCTGGCTGCTGATGTAGCTGGAACGGGGAGTTAGATGGGTCTGGCCTCCAAAACATGTGTTCAAGATGATTTTCCATATGGGAGACTTGGGAAGTCCCTGCTTGGCTTCCTGGAGGACGTTCTCTCTGTGTTGGTGGGTGGGTACCATGGGATGGTGCAATCGGGGTAATGAGAGAAGGTGCCCATCATGGTCAGGGAAGGGGTTCCTCTCCCATGTCCCTCCCACCTTGCTGGAGCTGTAGGAGGGTGTGGAGGCTCAGTCACACGTGTGACCTCACTGCAGCTGCTGGGTGCTGGTGGGCAGAGACCCTCGGTCACAAATATCACCTTTGCTTCCCTGTATCTTTCAGGCCCAGCACCAGGAGCTGCTGTCCCAGCAGCAGGATGTCATCTTGGCCACGCAGTCAGCACAGGCTTTCCTGGACAAGCATGGCCACAGCCTGGCTGGGGAGGAGCGGGACCGGCTCCAGGGCCGGCTGGCAGAGCTGAAGGACCAGTACACAGCTTCCCTCTCGCAGTCAGAAACGCGGCTGAAGCAAGTGCAAGTCCTGCGGGATGAGCTGCAGAAGTTCTTGCGGGATCACGGGGAGTTCGAAGCTTGGCTGAAGCAAGCAGAGCAGGATCTGGAGGGGATGTACAAGGGGGACAGCGACCCTGCAGCCCTCAGGCAGCTGCTCCTGCGACAGGGGAGCTTCTCAGAAGATGTGATCTCCCACAAAGGTGACCTGAGGTTTGTTACCATGTCGGGGCAGAAGGTGCTGGATGTGGAAGAAGCTGCTGCGGACGCAGGGTCCCAACTGCTGATGTCTGGGAACGTGGTCAAGAGCAAGTTGGAGGACGCGACACAGCGATACACCACGCTGCACTCCAAGGTACGGGGAGGGCTTTGCAAGGCTGGGAGTTGAACCCTGGGTGCTGTTTTCCTTGTAGAATGAGCAGGGATGGCAGAGGGACATTTCTCTTGCATGTCTGGCTGGACTGATAGCACATGTGTAGATTGTAGGACAAGGATTGTCTTCTTCAGAGCTTGAGCAGGAGTAACACCCTCTGTCTTGGTGCTGGTCTGTATGTTGCCTCTTGTAATTCCTTTAACACAAAAAATATTTTTTTTAATTGTTTTTTTCTTTCTTGATGATTCCTGTGCATTTTCCACCAGTGCCCAGGCTGCTCTGTGCCTGTGTGACTCCTCCTGTTATGTCTCGTTGCTCCTTTGCAGTGCACCAAGCTTGGCTCCCATCTGAACACCTTGCTGGATCACTACCAGCAGTTCCAGGAGGTGGCAGAATCTCTGAGGACGTGGCTGCAAGAGAGCGAAGCTGCCATTGGGAAACTGCTCTCGGAGACAGTTTCTTCAGATCCGGCCGTTCTGCAGAAGCAGCTCGCCAGCGCCAAGGTACGAGGTCCTGGGTGATCTCCTGGGGGAGTGTTGGAGCCTGTTGGGACTTCGGCTGCTGCTCTGAGCAGTCAGCAGCAGGAAAGAGACTGGATCCATTCACTTTTTTTGCTGGTTGAGTGCAAAGATGTACCTGTGGGCTCAGGAGGTCGTGGTGGTGCTGATCAGGTGGAGCCAGAGTCTTCTGAGAGGTGCTCAGAGCAAGGACCAGGGGCTGCAGTCATAGGGCTGCCACAGGGGACATCCCAGTGAGATGTGGGTGGACATTCCTCGCCAACGAGGGTGGCTGGGTGCTGGGACAGCCCAGACCCCCTGAGCCAGCTCTGGGTTTGGACCTTCCAACCTACATTATTATTTTTCTTAATGATTCTGCGATTTAAACCCTGAGCAAGGTTTAATTAGAGCACTGAGCTCCTGGTGGGTGCAGGTCTCTTGTGTGTGACCCACTGGTGACTTTACCCTGTCTCATGTCAAAGCAGCAGCTGCAGGGAGACCTTGCTGCGCATCAGGTGCCAGTGGAGAAGCTGCAGAAAGCGGCTTGGTCCCTGCTGGAGGTACAAGGGGAGCCAGCCCCAGACCACGGGCACATCCAGGAGACAACAGGTACAGAGCAAAGCAGCCACCTGCGTCAGCAGGGGTGGTTGGGGAGAGTGTGAAAACCAACCAGGGAGGGAGGAAAGAAGAAATCTCCTATTTGTGGGAGAAGGTGGGGCAAAGGCACCCAGCAACACATCTTCAGGGCTTGTGTTTGCACGTGGGGAGGGCTGTGACCCACTTTGGCCGTTTGCGTTGGGTCCCATCTCTCTGCTGAGTTTGGGGATGGGGATTTGTCATCAGCGAGAGCTGGGCAGGAGCCCAGGTGGTCCTTGCTGCTCTCTGAGCACCAGGTGAGAAGCTCTTTGCCTCTGATTCTCCTTTGCGCTGAACTCTGCAGATGCCATCGTGAGCCGCTTCCAGAGCCTCTCCCAGCAGATGACCGAGCGCTCGGACCTGCTGCAGAAATCCATCGCCCAGTCCCAAAGCGTCCAGGAGAGTCTGGAGAGCCTCCTCCAGTCAGTGGCTGAGATCGAGAAGAATCTGGAGAGAGAGCAACCAGCCACACTCTCCTCCACCTCCATCCAGGACTCACTTGCCACCAGCGCGGTAAGGCTGGTCCCTGAGCTCCTGCCACTCCTGGCTGCAGGACCTGAACCGTGCGGGCAGTTGTGGGGGTTGGCTACAGTGTTCTAAAAGCACAAAAAAAATCCCCTAAAAAGGGATATGAGCAGAACCTTCACTTGATTTCTTTAAGGCAGGGCACAGACTTGTTGAAAGTTTCTCTTCTGCTGACAAGTGGGGCTTATGAAAAGGCAGAGCAGGTTGGGGAGATCAGAGAGGAAAGGAAAACTGGGATAGAAAACTGTTCCTGCCCAACTGTTCTTTCCCAAGGGTGGCCCAGCCTCTTCACACCAGTTCAGTTTTACTCAAGACCCTTCCTAAAGCAGCATCCCTTTCTGTGTGTGCTTCCCACAGAAGCTGAAGCAGGACCTTGCCAGGCAAAAAAGCTGCCTGGAGGCCACTCGTGAGATGGTGACACGATTCATGGAGGCAGCAGACAGCCCCACGGCCTCTGCCCTGCAGGGCAAACTGGCAGAGGTGACCGAGCACTTTACCAGGCTGTGCCAGCAGCAGCGGGAGAGGGAGGACACGCTGAAGGGCCTCCTCCCAAAGGTCGAGCAATATGAGGAACTCTCGGAGAAGTTGCAGCAGTTCACAGAGAGCAGAACACGGATGTTGGCATCTGGGAACCAGCCAGACCGGGACATCGCTCACTTCTCCCAGCACATCCAGGTGAGATGCAGGGGGAAAGATCCCACCTGGCTCAGGTTTCTAGGACAGGGCCATTTTGGAATGACTTTTTTTTCCCTGGGTGAACAGCCCCTGGTTCACTCCCAGGCTGGCAGGATCTGCAGAACCTGTGCTGGCTCTTTGCTTGGGGAAAGGAGCGTGGCCAGAGCGGGTGAGGCTGTTTCCAGCAGTGAGAGAGGGGAATGGCATTTCCCTGGAGCCAGGCTGGCTTTCGGAAGGGATCTCTAGCCAGGCTCCAAGGGGCCAGACCAAATATAGCAAAGTTTTACTAATTAAACACTCCATGGGGTTAATACAGCAAAAACCACCCGAGCGCTGGCAGTGAGCGCAGTGCAGGATGTGACCAAGCCCTCGGAGATGCCGTGGCTCCTGGTAGCTGGTTCATGGCTGCGTGGGGTTCCTCCCTCTGGCTTCCTACGAGTGCTCTGCTGCGGGGGGTGGTTTGACCACAGCCTCAGAAATGTGCTGAGTCAGGATAAAACCAGCCACTTGTGCTGGGAGGGGGTTGATTTGGCTCGGTCTAGGGCCCCCCCATCCCATTCACTGTGTGGCCTTACACCAGCACCAGGGAAGGTGGGACTTTGCACCCGCAGCTGCTTGAGGTATTTGCTGAACCAGGGGAGCAGGTGGGGCTGAGCCGTGCCCACCCATGCCATGCTGGTGCAATTCATGGTGCTGCCCACAGCGGGTCTCTCTGGTTCACCAGGACACAGGGCTGTCCAGTTCATCCCCTGTTCCCAAATCTGCTGGCTTGGGATTTGCTCTTGGCAGGAACTGAATTTGGAGATGAGGCAGCACCAGGAGGACCTGGCCACCCTGGAGCACCTGGCTGCGGAGCTGAGCTCCTGTGGCTTTGCCCCCAGCACTTCCCAGCAGCAGGAGAAGCTGCAGAACCTGAAAAAAGATTTCCTGCAGCTGCAGAAGGTGGCAAAAGAGAGGTGAGTCCCAGGGACCTGGCTTCTCCCTGGGGAAGTGAGTTTGGGGGTGACTCTGTGGTCAGAGCAAGACCCCATGGAGATCCCCTTTCCACGGGGAGGGGCACGAGCAAACTCTTCCTGCCTCCCACACCAGGAGACAGGAGGCAGCTCGCTCCAGCTGACGCTTTAAAAAAAGCCTTGGCTGGGGGCGTTGTGAAAAATTCCTGGTGCTGCAGGAGCCGCCGTTTGTTCGTGCGTTTCCCGGCGTGTGGGCTGTCACAGCTCCAGCCCGGAGCATCTTGCCGGAGGGGAGCGGGGTGCTGGCAGGGAATCAGGAGGTGACACAGCCTGTCCCCAGAGTCCCCTGAAATTGGGGGTAAAAGGGAGCTTTAGCAGCAGCCTGAGCTCGAATTGGCTATGCCAGCGTGAGCAGGGTTGGAGGGAGGGTAGGTTTAGATTAGATATTAGGAAGAAATTCTTTCCTGTGGGGGTGGTCAGACACTGGAACAGGTTGCCCAGAGAAGCTGTGGCTGCTCCTCCCTGGAAGTGTTGAAGGCCAGGTTGGATGAGGCTTTGAGCAACCTGGTCTAGTGGAAGGTGTCCCTGCTCATGGCAGGGGGTTGGAACTGGATGATCTTTAAGGTCCCTTCCAACCCAAACCATTCGATGATTCTATGACAGCTCGCCTGTGTCCCCAGGGGGGGTCACACCTCCCAGGCTGTATCTCCAGCCTCCCTGGTGAATACAAAGAAGGGGATGGGGAAAAGTAAATGAATCTCATTATAATTCCCAGTGATTCAGCATCGTGCAGAGAGCTGCCTCCGGCCAGCCCCGTGCAGGCTGCTCACAGCTGCGGTCGGTAGGATGAGCTGGAGGGGCCAGTGGCTCCTGCCCAGGG